GCTAATAACAAAAAATAGTTTGGGCTTATAAAAAAGTAATTTTTGCCCAAAGTGTTTTGGCAATTTCGGCTACTAATTGAGAGAGTTTCGGCCGGAAACCTTAGGTAATATCAATGTTCACTTTGTCTGGTTTTGTTGCAGCATGCCCCAAATAATATATTAACCCTGAAATTTAATGTAACGTAACACATCCCAATTTTGAATTTTCAACACTGGACGTCATTCGTGCAACAAAATGTGTTATCCATTATTGGCATCATAGTAGTTAGTTACACATGCCTTAAAAAATTTTTTAATACATTTTTAAAAAATTTTTGTAGAAAAATAAAAATAAAAATAAAATATGAATGACGATTTAGATGTTGAAGCCATGCTAGAAGCTCCTTTCCAGAAGGGCAAAGTATGACCCAAAAATCATAGCAAACATCTATCAAGTTTTATTTTTTTACTAATCAAGGAAAAATTATATTAATTAAAATAGGAATCTTCTGAACATAATGGAAAAAATGAAAAAGATCATAAATTAGAGTTAAAAAAGTGAGCAAAAAATTCATACAAATACACATTATAATGCATATTTTTGATACTATATCATTCTAAAACTATTTTCAATATCTTATTTTGTTATTTTTTTATAGCGATGAAAGACGTCGTCACAGAAGTTCTTCACGTACTTCAAGTCATCGTCATAGATCACATTCTAGATCTCGTCGCTCACATAGATCAAGATCAAGAGATAAACATAGACGACGAAGAAGTAGATCTAAATCTCGTGAAAAAAGAAAAAGAAGCCGAACAAAATCTAGAGATAGGGAAACTAGAAGAAGTCGTTCACGTAGAAGAAGTCGTAGTGGTAGTAGATATAGGTAATTAATATAGTATAATATTATATTTTATTGTTATTGTTGTTATTTAATAAAAATTCATAATATTTGGGGTTTTTTTGGTTGTCAATAGTGACCGAGATCGTAGAAGAAGATCACCTACACCTCCTTTAGATGAAGAAGAACGTGATAAACGCACAGTATTTGTTATGCAATTAGCAGCACGACTTAGAACTAGAGAACTTGCAGATTTTTTTGCAGAGGCCGGAAAAGTTCGAGATGCTAAAATAATCGCTGATAGAATATCTAGGAGATCAAAAGGGTAATGATTGATCAATTATTGATTGGTTGGTTGACTCTCAGATTGAAAAAACTTATTTAATAATATTTGTTATTGTTACAGTGTTGGGTATGTTGAATTTTATGATGAAGAATCTGTCCCAAAAGCTTTAGCTATGACAAATAAAAGACTTTTAGGCATCCCAGTAATAGTACAGCTTACAGAAGCAGAAAAAAATCGACAAGCAAGATTAGCAGAGCAAGCGTAAGCATTTTTCATTTTCTTTGTTTTTTAAAAAAAAAAGTTTTTTTATAAAAAAAAATAATATTTATTTTTATGATTTGCAGTGCTTCACATGCAACTGATATTGCATATCATAGATTATATGTAGGGTCAGTTCATTTTAATCTGACTGAAGATGATTTAAGACAAGTTTTTGAACCATTTGGTCCATTAGAATTTGTTAATCTTCATAAAGATCCCGAGACTGGTCGATCTAGAGGCTTTGCTTTTATTCAGTACAAGAATGCTGAAGATGCTAGACAAGCTTTAGAGAAAATGAACGGCTTTGAATTGGCTGGAAGGACTATCAAAGTAGGTCTTGTCACTGACAAAAGCAATGGAATGAATCTAAATCTTGATGATGGTGGTAAGTTTACCATTTAATTGCATATGTGATTCATTATTTATTATTTATTGAAATATAATATAATTTTCTTTTTAGATGTTGCTGGTTTAGCACTAAACCCACAATCTCGAGTAGAATTAATGCAAAAATTAGCTCGTGATACAGATTTAATTGCACCTGCATCTGCTCCTACACAATCAGAACCGTTAGTAATTTAATTTAAACAAGAAATTTAAAAAAATTAATTTTTTTAACTATATTATTTTTCTCTATTTTTTTTGTCATAGATAAAAACTGAGTTCTAATAATCCTCTAATATATATCTATATCTCACAATCATTTATAATATATATGCACATATATATATATTTGTATTTTTCTTTTAATTATTGTCATTGCTATTATTATTATCATCATCATTCTTCATCGTCATCTTTTTATAATTAAAATACTTTTATTTTAATTTAAAGACCAAGGCCCGTTCAACCAAGAGTCAATCCTACACGGTGTGTTCTATTAAAAAATATGTTTAATCCTGATGAGTAAGTTATCTTGATGTTTAAATAAATTTTTTTATTTAATAACGATATAATACTAATTATTCATTTATTATTGAAATAAAAGAGAAACTGAATCAAATTGGGCAGAAGAATTGGAAGAGGATGTGAAAAGCGAATGCTTAAAATATGGAAATGTTGTTCATATTGGAATTGATAAAGAATCAGATGTAAGAAGAATCTTTGAATATTTTATATTATTTTTTTTGGATTAACAAATTAATTTAATTTAATTTCCTGTTAATTATTATTTTTATATCTTTTTTTGTAGGGAGATGTTTACATGAAATTTGATACTGTTGAATCTGCTCAAAAAGCATTAAATGGTTTAAATGGTCGATGGTTTGGTGGAAACCAAATCTCGGCTGTTTTTATTCTTGATATGTTTTATAATGTTCGATTTGCTAAAGCAGCAAATCTTTAATTGACTGATTAATTGATTGATTGATTCACCTATTCATTCCTTTTTTTATTCTTTTATTTTTAGATCTATCTATCTATCTATCTATATAGTGATAGATACAACATATGGGATAAAAAAATAATAAATTAATTTTGTAACATAGTTTTTATTATTATTATTATATTATTATATTTGTGATAGTATTTTTAGGTAATTTCGTAATATATGGCGCGATGATGATGGTGATGACCAGTAACATCAAATATTTATAATCAAAGGAAAGAAAGAAAGTATCAGCCAGTCCTTTCTCATTCAATGTGAAAGATATAGATCTTACAAAAAGAGTAATTTATTCATATTTGTGTGGTGGTTCCTTATAATAATTAGTAATGATGTGTAATTTCTCATGTGTGACAATAAATTTATTATTCTTTATACAATTAGTTTTTGAGGAAATTTACATATATGGGGTATACTGCAACAAAACCAGACAAAGTGAACATTGGTATTACCAAGAATTTCAGGGATCAAAATTTAATCATTTGTAATGTGATCATAATTAACAGTTTTATAATATCCCATTTGTTATTTTAAGTGATATATAGCACTACTCCTATATAAAAATAGTTAAGATGAAACTCATTTACATTAGGTCTACCATGGAACCCAAGAATTATAGTACTATCAGAAGTATTTTAAAAAAGGAACAAGTGAAAAAATTGCACCTTATGTTTTCAAAATAAATGATACTCAGACACTGGAAGCTTATCTAAAAAAAGAAAGGATTACTTATGAAATTTACCAAGAAGAAAGAAAAATAATAAATGTTGGAAAAAGAAAGCAGGATGAAAGTGTGCTATTACCCAACAAAAAGCAGAATGCAATGGATTTGATTATTGCAGGTCTATTTTTTTTACCGACAAAGAAAATTCTCTTTTATGCAAATGTAATTAACAATCATCATATTGCATTGCTTATTAATAAAAAAATGTTGTTTGAGTTGTTTGAACAAATTTTACATTCAAGAGTATGTCTATGAATCTTTGTTTTTCTCTGATTGGTATTGAAACAAGATAAATACTCCAGATTTATGTTGGAACATTATAAAAACATTACCAATTCACTTAGTTTTCAGGTAAAAAAATTCAAATCATTAAACACAATTTTACTTTGGTTTAAATATTTACACAATATTTTCATCCGTAATAACATTAAAAAAAAAATGCTTACTTTCAATAATGAACTTTTTTGTGGGTTGTTAATTGGACTCTTTCTTGGTTTCTTATTTCACTATAAAATTCATCTCTATTATAAATCAAAAAATTGATCAAATAATCAATAGAATAGAACCAAGAAAGAGATATAAAACAAACAAGCCTACTAACGATGAAAAATATCCACATGAAACTGAAAATCTATGGAAGGATTTCAAAAAATTATTTGATAAAAGAATTGAATTGGATTCTGATTTTTCCTTTAACAAAATGGCTACTGAAATTCGTGAATTACTTGAAGAGGGAAAGGGAATTGCTGCTTCTACAATAAAAACTTCTATCAACAAAAAACCAATCCTAGAAATAAAATGATAGAAGAAAGAAGTGGAGAGTGAAGTTGATGAAGATAATGAAAATGAAGAAAATACAAATATTAATAATAACATTATAATTATTGATAATAATAAAAATAGTAGTAATAGTGAAGCTTGAATTTTTACCAGAGTGCCCAAAGAATAGGTAATACTAATGGCTTTGGGTCTGAGTATTTTCCTCCTGCGCAAGTGCTCTGACAATTTTTTTTTAGCATTTTTCTATTTAAATTTCAAGTGATGTGCCCCACTAATTTATCATTGGACCAAATTATTTATACAATTACGATCTAAATCAATAAATAATAAAAAAAATTTTTTTTAACAAATCTTTTTTTTTTTTTAATAATGATGACTCTTGAAAACGCCTATAACACTGCACTTGAAGAACATAGAAAGGCTGAAGGAGAGTTGAAGGAGTGGAAAGAAAGGTGGGGAGGGAGACTAGTCCAGTTGTTGGGAGAAGAGGCAGAAAAGCGTGATGTGGAGTTGTTTATCTACTTAAAAACAAAAGAAGAAGAGTTGACAAAGAAGGTGGAAAATAGGTTGGAACGAGTAGAGAAGTTGCAGGATGAATTGTTAGGATATGGCAAAGAAAAAGGTAATGAACAAATTGTGCAAAAAAAATATTATTTTCATTCATTCTATTTTGTTTATTTTGTATACTTTTCACGATTTTAACCAACTTGCTTTTTTTATTTTATTATTGAATATGTAACTTCATTTATCTCTATTTATTAAAGAGTCAGGTAAGAACATTTTGTGTTGGATATTTTTATATATACCTATAGAATGCAACCAACTTGTGATTTTTTCTTCCTCCTATTTATCCATTTCTTTTTCTCTTTCAATTATTGATGATGTCAATTTGCAGACAATAGTGACAATTATAAAAAAAGAGACTTTGATTTACTTAAGTCTCGGATAGATTATATGCACCAGGAAATTAAAAAGATACATATACATGCTGACCAATGGTTTAGCTGCCCTGGTAATTGTCTTTTATATTGTTTGTTCACTTGCAGAAAAAAATAATATTAGCAAAAAAATCAGCTTATCAAATTTTGTTTGCCTACCAGCTACAACAACTGAAACTGAAAAAGGAGAATTTGTACTTGAAAAAGGAACACAAATGGTTTTTCCTTTCCAGAACACTTCAAATATTCTTGCTCAGGGTGCTGCTGGAAGATTTGAGTGCAGAAAAAGGAAAGATGATGATGAAGCTAGGTTACAAGAATACTTTATCAGTCAATGTCAAGCACTTAGAGAACTAGAGTCCATACATTTTGATGTTTATGATACAAGTGAGACACCATTATTGGCAACAAGAAAACCAGTTTTTGTTATTGTTCATGAAGATTGTGCTCTTGATGCCTTGAATGTTATTGTTGTTGGAGAGATCAGGAAGCGTAAAGGAGCCAATTTCAGTAAAGCAGATATTGGCCACTGTATTTCTTTTGGTGAAAAGGCTCTCCAGTTGCAGCCACAAAGAACATTCATATATGCCTTATTGACTGATTGTAATCTCCTTGTTATTTTCAAAATCACCCGGTATAATCAAAATTTCCAATATTCATATACTCCACTAATGGATCTGAAATATGATTCTGATTATCCACCAATAGGTTGGAAGTGCTTAGTCAATCTAATGGAACAGTCAGTAATGACATTAGGATGGGTAGAATCAGAGCTTGTTATCAGGGAAAGTCATATACAACTAAAAAAAATTATTGGTGTTGGTCGAACCAGTGTGGTTTATTCAGCAAAAAACAGTGGAAACCAAGAGGTGGCTGTAAAACTCATAAAAAATAATATCTATGAAAATTGTTTTTCAAATGAGATTGAAATCCTCACCAAATTTTCACAACTGAAGTCCCCCCATCTTCCACAGCTTTTACTTGCTGATAGAAATATTATTGTTATGAAACCTGTTTGTGAGAAAATCACTAATTTAGAGAAAAAAGATATAAAAGCAATAATTGATACATTACAAATTGTTCACCAACAGATAGGAATTATCCATCGGGATTTGCGAAAATATAATCTGCTTCGTGATGATTCTGGTAACATAATTATAAGTGATTGGGGCTTCTCTGTGAAGAATGGAGAAAAGGCAAGATTTGCAGGTGCATTGGAATGTGCTGGAGATGACTTACTTAGTAATATTATGAATGGTCAGCATCTTATTCACTATAAATTTCACATGGACTTGTTATGCTTTGTCAGAACCATCTTTCTTATGATTCATCAACCTAGGATTGATAGACTTCCATTCTCTGTAAACAAAGATATTGAAGATGAAGCACATAAAATGCATATATTCTGGTCGCAAAATGGTATTTCAGATTTTTGGGAAAATATAAAGGAATGTGCAATGAATTTGAAGTATAAAGATCTTCAATTTGAATTAGAAAGACTATTTTAAGTACTTTAAGTAGAGCATTACATAGATAGAATGCATCAATCTGGTAACTTGAATCATTATTAAATCTTTGTCAACTGAAATTATCTATGTATGCATTCATATTCAATTAAGGAAAATTTACAAATTGAATTTTTTACACTAATCATGGAGATGAGAAGAAGATTTTTTAATTACATATTTTTTATTTTAATAAGTATTTTATTCAAAATGTTATAATTAAACCAAGAAAACAAATTGCTTTGACATTTATTTATATACATGTGAATATTTTAAATACTAAATTAATTGAATTAATTGTCAGTTAATATTTTGCGTAACGACTGCGCCACACATCACGTCACATTACACATGTAGATCATTACATCATTTCTATTTTTAACTTATTTTATGACATAATTATTTACTTTCAAATTATTTGTATTGCTCAGTTGACCCAAATATTTAGTAGAATTAGTAATTAGCAATTAGTAAGCTAGTAATACAGAAAATAGGATTAATAAGCATATTTATCACGCATTTCCTATGTAACATATTGCACAGTATTAAAAGTTACTGAGAAAACTAATCACACAATGTAGGAGTTTAAATTTATAAATTTAATAGCCATTAACTAATTCACTATTATTGTTGACAATATACATATAGTAGCTAAATTTAT